TCAAGGTAAAATAAGTTGCAGGTATAGCTAGCTGAGGGCCTGCTCCTGCTGCCATTGAAGTCAGTGGCAAAACTTCTGAGAGGCTCCGGGGGCTTTTTCCAAAGCCCATTGAAGTCAACGGAAAAACATCCCATTGACTTTAGTGGACTGTGAACCAGGCTCTATACATTTGCAAAAGCCTTTTCAAGAACAGACCAAATAATGTGTTAAGTCCCATCCTCCTAAAGGGTATTCCATTAGCACAGAGAAGAATATTTGGTGAGTGGTTTTTATTTTAATGTGCGTTTTTCTCGCCTCAAGTTTCCTCTAGAACCAGTTTTGAGCATGCCCACCCTATCAATGAGAGAACATTTCTGTAATTTGTGCATCACTTTCTCTTTGCTGAGCAAAAGCTGAGGACATAGCCTTCTTATTACTACTACTAGCATATACTTTGGTTCACAGATGTGACCCTGGTGACTGCCTTGCTCTTCACACTTCTAGACCCACCTATCCTCTCCATGAGTAGATTAGGATGGCCTGGAATCAAACTGTTTGAACTTTGTTAGCATTCTTCTCTTTTATAAAGTATCATAATATGTCTTCCTTTGTGTTCAGCAAGCAGAACAGGATTTCATCACTGAGCTAGCTGCATTGGCCCGAGTTCCCCTCACAGTGCGCAAGCAGCCTTTAAATAGGAGTGTACAATCAGGTTAGTATTGAGATGCTTGCTTACCTGGTTTTTTTTAAGCTTCATGCATGGTAAGGGGTTTGCAAATTACTTTTCATATAAAATTGGCTCTGAAAACAGGCAATATGTTTAGCCAATTAAGATTCCAATCCAGGCTGATATGGGGCAGTGATTTACATGCCAGCACTTTTACCCATTTACCATCCCCAGATCAGTATACTCAGAGGGGAAATAGAGAGAAAGGGATTTAATAAATAAATAAATGCTCTGGTGGACCTATCTGTTTAAATGGGTTGAACTATTTTTCTAACAAAGGGCCATCCTACTCTTTCAAACCCAAGACATTAGTTCGCTGGCTATACTCCTGTCTGACCACACTGGGAAGGATATTCTGAAAGGCACAAATGGCAGTGAGGCATCCATCTCGCACTGAAAGTCAATGGGAATTGAGGACATAACTGCCATTGGTACCTTTGAAAGCCCCCCCCCCCAGTGGGAAATGGTTCCAAGAGTTATCTGCCACTCCTAGCTGAGAGTGGTGGGTTTTCCTGCTGGGTTATAGCTGGTAAAAGATAGATGTAGGCACCAAATAAGAAGATTAAGGCCTTGGCTAGCTTAATTCTTCAACCCAGAATTACTTAGACACCTTCAGGTTCCACTTCAGAAACACCTGACCATAAAGAAGGACTCCATTCACAGATTAAAGTTATTTGCAATCAAACAGGCCTTATTGGAACTGAATCACCCAGATTTCTCTCCCTGGATGGGGAGGATTGAATAATCCTCTTTCATTCCCCACCAACAGCCTAAAAAAGTAAACTCCTATGAATAAGTACAATCATAGGGGCTATGCATACTTACAGGAATTAACTGCAGCCTTAATTAATTCACTGTTTCAACTGACATGGACAAATTTGTTAAAATGACATCTAGTTTTGTGCCCACCATCAATTGTGGAGCCAAATCTGCAGGTGCAGTTAAATGAGTGTGCAACCTCCAGGTTGAAAATCCCTGACCTAGTTGATTCCAATCAGTTGCTGTAGTGATATATTTAGGGTCAGATTTCAGGTAGGACCACAAGTTCAATTGAGAGTCAATGGCACTAATATTCCTAATTAACTCATTTAGGCACTTTTGAACCCACCCTACCTCATCCCCATGCTATCATCCCCCCCCTAACAATTGCTTGTCCCTGTGGGTGCCTTAACTATGAATGCAAAGTTGAGACCACACAAAAAATATGGACCATTAACATCAAAAGTTTGTCTACGTATTTCCTTAAAATTACAAAACAATTGCCTTTATTCTTTTGGTTGTAGCTCAGAGCAGTCTCCATTAGTTTGCTAATACACTTATCTGCTTAGAAACTACCTAATTGTGCTTTAAGACATTATGCCACATTCTAAAACATGTCAGCCTTTGGCAAGTGTGAAAAGAAAGACATGCCTACTGCATGGTAAATCATAATCAAAAGAAGTTACCGTAGTGATTTTAAACTACGTTTCCATGCCTTTTCAGGAAAAAGCCAAAAAACAAAAAGGAAGAACTCCCATTCCTGGGGAAAAGAGGATTCTGGTGACTTCAATGAAAAATGACCAGATGCCCCAGGAAGAGACTTCTGGATCAGTCAGGTATAACTGGAGCTAAAATGGATGCCTACTGAAAAGCATGTTTATAATAACTTGATAAAAAAATCTGTTTCTCAAGAAAGTACATTGATCTGATAGAAAAAATATAGTATCTATATTCTTTCCTCTTCTTACCAATATTCGTGTTAAAGCGTGAACATACTCACTCTCCCCATCACCCTTTTTAAATGCAGGAAGAGCTTCTAAATTTGGCTCTCTAGTCTGTTTGTTTTTAATTTGCACTTTAATTTTAGATAGCAATAAGAAATTGTATGTTTCTGTCCAAGCTTGGTATTTCTAAGGTGTCTTTCACTGTTTCTTACACATGAGGATAGAGTCACAGCTGGTGTAATTCAGCCTAGGCCTATTGAAGTCAGTGGAACTACAATGATTTACAGTAGACAAAATCTGACCACTAGTATCTAAATAGCCACTGCCTCGGTTTCCTGGACAAAAGCAGGTGCTGGTTGTTGGCTTCTGGAGGAGCAGAGCTGACAGCTTTTGCTATCAACATAATCACTATTTGAAACGTCTCCTAGGGTGCTAACTAGACAAGGAGAAAGAGGCTCAAACCTAAAACATGCCAGATGATTACTGGGGGGACAAGTCAAACTGGTTCACTGATGGCTGGGGCTTGATGTATTGAACCGTTCATTCTGACAGGCATTACAAATAGTTGCTTCTCAAGAACCATATGGAGCCTTTAGGAAGAGTATTTATCCCCTGAGTGACCATGGGCTGGGATTGCTTTTAGAAGATGGCTCTTGTCCCTGATAGCATGATTACTATGCTTTCTCACACACCACATTCCTTCAGCAAACAGAAGACATTTGTAGCATGGAGAAGAGTACAGGGCAGATCAATGTATATTTATCTTGTATGTTTTGGCAGGCTTTTAATAAGTCATTTGCAGCCAGAAAGTGAAAGCTTAATATTACAATGTAACAAACTCCCTTCTGTTATTAAAATGGAATCAGAGCCATGGAGAATTTTGGTCTAAAATTTAATTTTGTTGGGCTTGTTTTTTGTGTTTTTAATCAGAAACAAATTGCAGAGGCAGCATGAAACTGAAATTGATCAAGGGAAGAATTCAAAGATGCAGAAGAAGAGGTGCAACATGTAGTGAAAACAGTTCTCTGAATTGTCTGTCAGCCTGAATGTTGAGTCCCAAAGCATTTTTTTGGGCAGACTAAACTACTGTAAATATTTACTGAGCAGGATCATTGGAGAACAAATAAGAACCTCATTAAAAACTAAGAAGCCTTATTCCACAATTGTGAAGCAGTATAAACAAAACTCCAACACATGGAGATACAGCATGTGGCCATCGTCCTTAAGCGGATAATGAAACATTTCCACTTGGTTCTGTACAAAAGAACAGGAAGCCAGCTCTGTCCACCAGCTAGAGCTCTGAGAAAGGTTTCCTTTTTGTGAAAAGTAGCTGGATTTACAGAAAGTCCCTAGCTCGCTGAAATCAAGGAAAAAAAGGCGGTGGGGGGACAGCACCTCCAAAAGGAGACCTTTTTAGAGCAGGGGGTGGGAGGAAGGGAGAATATTCTGACCCTTTGGCAAGCCAGGATTTAGGAATTAGAGTTCCAGATTGGCACAAAAACTTTGCATGGCGATGGGTCTCTTTTAGAAATCTGTGCCTTTAGGTTGAATAAAGATCTGAGTGTGGCCTCAATCAAATTCAAGCCCATCATGTTGGGCAGTGATACAAGAAGGGGCCAACTTTCTGGCAGGGTAGGGATGGGAAATGAAGCCTGGAGAGAATAGACAGTAGATCTGAAAGGTCAAACTACAAAAGTAAACAAAAATCATTTGTAAGTACTGACTGATAATAAAGCAGTATTAATTAACAGGAGACAGCATTAAAAATGAGGAGGAAACACAGCAAGGCCCTCATTGCAAAAGTACTGTCCACTGCAGTTCCCATTGAATTCTTCTGAAAAACCAGGCAAACATTTTCAAAAGAGAATGCAGAAGCAGTGCACATTCACGACTCCAGCTGAAGTCAGATACTCAGGACCTATGAAAAGCAGATGGAGACAATTGAAAACCTGACAAGTGTTTGAATATGAGATGCTAGATGAAAACTTAAATTTAGGGGAAACCTGTGACAATGTGACTTGTTCCCATAGAAACTGAAGCAACTGACACTGTTACTAGCGAGGGCTCAGTTTGAGCAATAATAGTAGCCAGCATTCAAAGCAACAGGTATTTAAGCCCATGGTTACTGAGGTGAGAGGGCTGTTCATTAGGGCAGCAGAGCTCAACCTCTCTCATTGTAAGAAACAGAGCGGACACTGATGGCAAACGTTTCCTTTTACATTTCCTCCCGAAGTCCTTTCCTCATCCAGGGGTACTGCATTTATTTAGCAGAACCTAAGACGCTCATAGGCCCTTTCCACCTAGCATCTCAGGTCAGATGCATCTTTCTGAATCATTAAACAGCAAGAAAAAAAAAAGCAAACAGTCTAAACCATCACTAAATCCCCCTCCTCAGCTCTTTTGGCCACAGTCTCTGTACAGGCCTTCTGGCATATTCTGCTGATCTCACTAGGGCCTTTCCTAGCAAAGGCCAGAAGGCTATATACTTCCTGATGTGTAGGGCTAATTAACAAGGGCCATCTCCCAAGTACTCCTAAATGTTTAACCCTTACTGGTCCTCGATACCACCCTGTAGTGTGTAGAGAGGGGTAGTACGTTTTATTTCCAGGGACCAAATTATGGTGCTTTCACCATGGCTGGTTTCTCCCCCTGAATGCCGAAAGAGCCATCACAGTAGCCTTTTTCAAAGACGAGGCCCGTATAGAAGTGTTCAGAATAGATAACTATAATTATAGTTACAGGGCCAGAGCCTCAGCTGGCGTAAATTGGTGTGTCACTCCATCAGAGTCAATGGAGCTATGCCACTGTCTGAGGATCTAGCATGATAATTAGGTAAAGGGTTGGGGCAATGGCACAATGGACGTTATTAGTTAGACAAAGAGTGTTACTGTTATTGCAGGTGGCATTTCCACTTAGCTTCAATGTAAGCTCTTACCTTGAATGTCTGGGTTTTGATCAGTGATTCTCATACTGTGGGCCACGCAGAGCTGGTAGCATGCAGGCTGCAACCAGGTGGTAGCTATGCTGATTACACTATGCTGATTACAGTTACAATTAGGGTGACCAGATGTCCCGATTTTATAGGGACAGTCCTGATTTTTGGGTCTTTTTCTTATATGGGCTCCTATTAGCCCCCACCCCCATCCCGATTTTTCACACTTGCTGTCTGGTCACCCTAGTTA